GTAAACATAATAACTGAAGGCATATACTCGAAACCTTAACTTAGCTAGACATACGCTACTGAGAAGAAGACGACTCGATCGCTGGGACAATACTTTTATTCAGGTACTGTTTCTGCTCTTTGATTATGTCTCTGGTGACGAATCCGCGACGGATCTCAAAACTTCAGGCGAATAAAAGTATTGTCCCAGCGATCGAGTCATCTTCTTTTCAATTACTTCCTGGGACTTACATATTCGCTTACATACGCTACTGAAGTGAGTCAACCAAACGGACTTTTGCCTTTTTGAAAGCGTTTTATAAGAGCAAGATGAATTTGAATTCTATTATGGCACTTAATTTACGTATTATAGTTTAGGGTATGGGTGTGTCGGTTCATGTTTTGACACCGAAATAAGAACTTTTCTAATGTCGTACGCTATCAAGGCGTCCCATTTAAACAATTCATTTATTTAAAGTTGGAGATCCTAAAGAAAGTAAAAAAAATCCCTATGATTTTAGGTAAACTTCAAAAGCCTACTACAAGCATCAAAAAGAGTCAAACACATGGAAGAGGAAACGCTACCGTTTAAATTTACTTGATACGACGTAGCCAAGAGTTTTTCTCTTATTAATTAAGAAGTCTACAATAAGAAATTGTACGGACATTAAGAAACAGATTTGGGAATCTGAACGTTGGATCGAAACTTCACAATAAGATATGATCACCAAGTAACTATGTTGATTGTGCTCGGTCATTTGCCGGGGAGAGGTCGTTTGCCTGACATACCAAAGTTCAGCTTATGAAGCCGGCCAGAATGAAGCTTCTTCAGTGGCCGGCCTTCTGCTGTGACTAAAATATCTTAGGTTTAGGCAGCACTACTTAAATAGTCATTAGGAAATAAAAGCAGATCAGAATTACTGCTAGTATTTAACGAGATTGTAAGTTTGCGGTAGGTCATGTGTGATCGCTGTGGGTGGGCTGTTTAATGCTGTCAGTCACTGTGCCCGTACCCACCGCTGATCGCCTTGATAAAATCTAATTCTCAGAATAAGTTGGGTAAATGAGAAGAGGAGAGGAAAGATGCTTTGACTCATTAAATTCTAGTTAAAACAATAATACTTATCCTGCGTCCACTGAAATTTGAGGAATACGGTGCACGGTCCACTAAAGCGGGGTAGACATTAAAAACGTTTTCCGTATTCCTCAGAAAAAGACAGTGAAGTCACCGAATGTATATCCGAACACAGTCCGTCCAAAATCCCTATTGAAATAATCATAAAAAAGTCTCAAAAGACACGTTTGACACTGTTCAGAAGGGTGCTCTAACTGCCGGGATATAGAAGTTTAGTTATAGCGATTCCTACTGACTGTTGAGGTTTTTAAGCTTACTTAGAACCGAAACCCGGTCCATTTATTTGACTTTTCACAGCTTGCGGGTGAAAATACTTGAAAGAAAGGTGGTTTTATAAGATATAATAGTTAACGTTTGTCGTCAGACATGAAAAACATTACGCAGAGATCATTGTCCTGCATTTCCGTTCATTATAGTGATAAGCCGGGAAGCAAAGCAACCCTGTCGATTTTGTAATCAGGACTGACCAGAGCGGAAACCCTCACATGATCCATGCGCGTGCATGCGGAAGTTTAAACGTTTATAGCTGGTCGCATAGTCACAGCAATTATCAAAACACAGCAGTTCACCGACAAAGACACAGGAACTTAACTGTCCACATTTGAATTATTTATTTAACAAATAAAGATAACCATAACCCAAGACCAAGGAAACGTGCTGTCGGGTGATTTAACGCAGTTTCATGTAAATTACCTCCGATTAACTTTATAGAGTGTGGACTATTTGAATAATTGACCTTAATATTACAGGCGTGTGACTTAATTATTGGAATTATAATGACAGTTAGTGGCTTTCAAATGGGATCATATATACAGTCTAAGGTTAAGTTGCCTTTATTCACCAAAGTATTACTATGCTAAAAATGAATGATAAATAAACCACTAGTTTAAGGTTTCTATTTTAGTCGATCGATTAAAGCCAGAGGACCAAGAATTGGGAATTCAGTGTGTTAACAGATGTCTGTGGCCAAATTTTCTATGTATTTTGAAATTCAGGTATAATTTTTTTGGAAAGAGGTTTTATGTGTAAATTTTTGATGCTGGACCCCAAGGTCATTGTCGTTGACAAAAGCAAGGTAACAAACATGCAGCAAAACAGCTATCATTGTAGGGGCACTTAAAAATCGATATCTGTTTGGCCTTTGTGTCACTAGGTCGTCAT